AACTTTCCACTTTAAAAGGTCTGTGAGCTCCTATCCTCGTGGTTTTACGACTTTAAACACACGGAACATTTTAGATTGAGGGGAGCTCCCATTCGCAAAACTGTGTGACGTATAAGTATAAAACAACTAAATTCTTGACAGTATCAAACTGTTAAAATAATTATGGATTATTGATATGATGGACTGATGGCAATGTTCTTTATAAATGAATACTAGCAATATATTACAGAATTGATAAGCAAATTCATTCATCTTGTCGATACATTTTTGGTATGATATGTAAAATACAAAAGTAAAAAAAAATTGTGTATAGGATACTGTTACGACAGCGGAAGTCACGTGGCTCTGGTGACACGTAATGAGTATCTCGAAGGTTCCTGAAGGCCCGAGTGTTTGCCAGACGCGCACTTTTATAGTATATAAGCCGGCAAATAAAGTGACGGCAAGAACAGAAAACCAGACAGCGAGATATAGAGACAGATAATCGAGTCAAGCCGTAAGTAAAGTACGGGAATCGTTGTGAATTCTAGCGTGTGTTGAAGTTAAAGTGACTGTGGAAATTAAGTGTATTGCAAAGTTGAATTGAGAAAGAATAAACTAGTTTTATTTAAGAAAGGACTTGTATCGCTGAAGTTTCTCGGAAAGAATTTCTACGGAAAATTAACAAACAAACACAGACGTAACAAATTGATGTCAGAAGCGGGATAGAAAAAAAAAGAAAATGGAAACGAAAGGTGGCAAATCAAACTATAGCTTAACAGATTTGATGACAGCAATACAAGAACAGCAAATGAAACAAGAAGAACGAGAAAATAAACAAGAAGAGAGATTACAGCAGTTGTTGGAGGAAAAAGAAAATAAACAAGAAGAGAGACTACAGCAGTGGTTGGAGGAGAAAGAAAATGAACAAGAAGAGAGAACTACAGCAGTGGCAACTGGAACAAGAAAGGAAACAAGAAGTACTAATGGAAAAGCTTAGTAAATTTCAAAGTGAATTAAATACATTAAAGGATGATTTACTGTATTTTACAAGGGAGGTTATATTAGCCATCAACGAAATCAGCCTCAGACAATGGGAAGCCCCTTCCAGACTCCACAGCTAAACCCTAATGCAGATATCTTCAGTCCTGCCAGAAGTCACATTCCAGACACGAGTGTCAGCAATAGGGGTGATCTAGTACGAAGGATGCCACAGGAATTCGATGGCAAGGCACTGTGGGAAGCATATAGAGCACAATATGAGCTCCTGGCAGAGATGAATGGATGGACAGAGGAGCAGAAATCAGTGTACCTGGCAACGAACTTGAAGGGACAACCACTGGAAATACTTGGAAAGTTGTCATCAGATGACAGGCACAACTATAGAGCACTGGTAGCTGCTCTAGAACTCGGGTATGGAACTGAAAATCAGTCCAAAGTCTACAAAGCTAGGTTTAGAACAAGAGTCCATGCTAAAGGAGAAAGCTTGCAAGAGCTGGCACAGGATTTGGAGTATGGCACACAAGGCCTACCCAACTGCACCACCCAATGTCATCAAGCTGTTACTGAGGGATCAGTAAGTAGATGCCTTGGACAGTCCACAACTGAATATACAAGTAAAGCAAGCACATCCCTCTACTATGCAGGATGCAATGGCCAGAGCTCTTGAATTCGAATCCTACATTAAGTCCAAACCAAGGTTGGTACAGTCATCAGAATTTAAGGCCAGAAAAGGGCAGCTTTCAGAGAGGTTTGAGGGACTTTGCTGGCACTGTAACAAACCAGGGCACAACAGAACTCAATGTTGGCAACTTCAACATCTGGAGATGCCACAGAAGGAAAGGCT